GTTTAAAATGAAAACATCAATTTGAATAGCTTGTATGCATGATTATCTTGCAATTAACAGACGATGTTGATATTGACATTGGTATCAGTCGACAAGGTATGTTTGTAAATGGCAGTGGCACGGCCTCCCTACTCACTGTACCTTGCACATGTTTAAAATAAAAACATGAATATATATGAACCTGTGTATTATTTGAATAGCTTAGTATTGAATGCACAATAAAGAGGTATACACGGTACTAGGCCCATTTAATATAAAACACTATTTTATACAATATATATAGTCGGGGGTCCCTGCTCCATCTCTCTATCAGTTTGGGGGTCCTTGGCCTGAAAAACATTGAAGACCCCTGCTCTAAAGTGATGATTACTGTGTGTCTTTATTAGTTATTAGTATTATTAGTTACTGTTATTAAGTACAGTGATCATATGAAAAGACGAATTTCTCAAAAGTCTCTTCAGCTGTTAAAGCCGACTGACAGCTGATCCAGATGTGATCAGCTGATCCTCCATCATCAGAAAAGTCGTTTCAGGTGAAGATAGAATGGAAAAGACGTCTCTTTTCTCTTAAAACATATTTCCTCGTTTCCTCTCTCATCGCATGGTTTCCTTGCATCCCTGGGGGGAGGGACTAAGACGCAAGGAAAAGACACAAGTGAAGGAAACGGGGATGCAATTAAGAGACTTGGGATGTACCCAATGTGTGCGAAAGGCTCATCTCGAACGAGCCTATTATAACAATGATCATTTGGGTCGTATTGTATTCCTATACACGGTGTCATTTTGATCGCAGATCTGAAATGGTCTACAGAATATTTAACAAGCCGTTCTGCCAAACGGAACAAATTAATTAAACAAGTATTGTGAAGTGATTAGATTGGTCTGCCAACGTGTTATTACATCAGGATGCGAGTGTTTGGGACTACTTGACTGCAGTGGTCCGTCACTGCCCCTTGCTACCGTGGACTTCATCTCGAACCAGCTTGTTATGTTGACATTGTTTTGTGACACCACGGCGTGCATCTTGGTCTCACTTGGCTCTGTTGAGTTAACCTTGATGTGTGGACTGCAACTAGAGTCTAACAGCCTAATAACGCACTTAACTCCTTGAGTTATTTTTTGATGATCGAACAACAGAGCAACAGAACTGTTAGCTTCCGGTCTTAAAGCTTCTCCTTCAGACCCGCTTTCAGTGGTCAGGTATCAGTCGGCCTCTCAGGTGTCAGTCTGGACTTTATCTCCCCTCCAGTCAACGCACACAGCTGCTTAGACACAATCCAGTCTGCTAGCCGTCGGTTAGCGCTGAGCTAATGCCAACTTCGCAGGTTAAAGATGCTAGCTACACCACCGAAGCTCCGTATGTGAGAGCTGTGACACCGATAGTCCGGAGTCACGGTGGCTCGGGAATAGTTGAGCTTACCTTCGGACGTTAGTCTGCAGAAAGGCCGCAGCAGCTCAGCGAAATTCAGGTTGTTCTTGCGAGTCACTCTCTCCGCTTCTTCACTGCATAAGACGGCCACCATCGGGACAAACGAGTCCTGGACGAACTCCTGCACGGACTGTACGCATTGGGCCATGTCGGACCGGCGTCGACACCAGCTAACACACTGAACCGAGTCAACTGTCCTGTAGACGGAGAAAGCCGGACTATATCATTTCATTTCCTCTACTCCTTTTCTAATCGCAGACGGCGGCCATGTTGAATTCGCCAACCGACTTCCTGTGTAGTGCTTAGACGATCACGTGACGCCTGACACCTACTTCCTTTTCCTCTCCATGTGACCAGTGTGCGCTAATGTTTCACCTCTCGTAACTATTTCATATAGAATAACAACGATATTATACATCAACACAAATCCATCTTCATGGAATATTGTTTTTACAATAATTGTGATCTTTACTGTGGAAGAGTTTCTGCCAGCCAGCATACAGGTTCATATCTGTAATCCCAGAGGATTATGCTAAAGTCTTTGGTGCAATACCCTTTGGTGCTGTATGCAGTTTCATTCTCAGCAGAAGGGTTGATGTCGAACAATTGCTCTTGATATCTCCAACACACACTCCCTTAGGACTTTGTCCTCAATTATTGTGGTAATAACATAAAAAGAGCTCTGATCCAAAGAGTATTACTACATTACACATTCGCAGGAGGACCTCTGGCTGAAACTGAACCTCACCGATGATCTGTACAACCACAGTATTAAACTCTTTGTAATCAAAGAAAGGAGGATGGACTTTGTCTTTAAGTGAACAGCAGCTTTGGTTAGTGAGCGGCTTTTGTTTTTACATCTTCAGTAGCGTTACTGTGTTCATTTGTCTATCGTGTCATTTTTATGATATGGTTAATATTGTTCCAATGTTCTTCAATACAGCATAATGTTCATTTAATTAATTATGGTCCATTAGACCATAAAGCAGGGTATGCTTTAGGGCGGGGCTACACAGTGATTGACAGGTTGCTCCCGCTACCAGAGCCGTATATAGCGTCTCTAATTCACTCCTCTGCAGTCCAAACTGAGTCCACATACCAAAGGGTGACATCATGTCCACCTCTTATATAAAGTCTGTGCTACCAACCCACAAACTGTGAAATAAGTACCAAGACTGGGCTTTTTTTTTTAGAAGGGGGGCTTAAAGAGACTGGCACTAAAACGGAGCGTTTCAGAGAGAGGATGACAATATGTTCAGATAGACAGTATGAGAAAAAGAAAGTGTGTTTCAACATTAAAGTATGTAAACATGTTGTAGGAGAAACCCAAAAGACAAGTATGAACTTGAGCATATGTCCCCTTTAATTCTTTGTCAAATACATTCAAAGAGGTGCTTGAAAACATTCTTTTCTTCCATTAGAAGATGAGTGCACTGTGGGGATAAAGGGAGGGACATGGTCAGCAACAATACTCAGGAAGGCTGTGGCGTTTCAACTATGCTCAATTGGTACCAAGTGGCCAAAAGTGTGTTAAAAAGACGCACCATTACATTACATCACCATTCTATGCATGGAATCGTTAGTACAAACAGGACATGAGGCACATACGTCAACTGTTTTACTGAGCTTGATTCAGATCAACCAAGACACGGAAGAAAGGGTTCAAAAGCATTGTTATGCAGCACACAAACATTGGATGAATGTATTAATAACCAACGGCTTTCACTGAAAACGTCAATGACTGTCCATCCTCTGCTGGGCTTAAAACACTCATATTCTGTTCCAGTCAAATGATGACACAGTGTACTCCTTTAAAGTCAGGGCCTCTCTGCCTTAACAAGGATGGCTTAACAAACCACATGAATGGAGATTCATGTCATCTTACACTTTAATACAACATCAGTGGCACTGTAGAATCATTATATACAATACAGTCAATACCATCTGCCAAGTATTATGACTCAAGGGTAATAAAGTGACGGCCATTTGCCAGTCAGATGGTTTTACCATCCAGGACTCATCACAGACACTGCTTAATGCATCCAGGTATAAAGGCAACAGTGTGGTGTGCCACAGGAGAAACCGGTTACACAGAAAGGGCCCTGGGAGTCATTTGATGTTGCGGAATATGCGGCGAGCGCGATTGGTCTTTATGGCGGCCAGAGCTGCCTCCAGTGTGGTGATGAGGTGCAGGAGGGTGCTGGGGTCAGTCTGGAGAACCCTTCTGCTGAGGTCATCGCGGCCGTCACACCCTCCCGTCAGGAGCAGGCGCATCGTCAGCATGGGAATGACCTGCTGACGGATCGGACGACTCGCCAACTGGCAGGAAGACATATGGGAGAAGAGGTTAAAATCTGAACCAAAAACATGGCATTGTACATCCAAGCCAAAAATACATTTCATATCAGCTTTGTATCATATGGTTAACGATGATTGGTTAAGTTTAGGCACAAAAATACTTGGTTAAGGTTAGAAAACGTATCAACGTAATGTAACAACACAACACAACATAATGGAACGACTGTAAATAATGAACTTTTTTATGTCACGTTTCGTAACGTTTTCGTACCCTGACTTCCTCCTTTTGTGATTTCATAAATGCATACTCACAAGTCCTGCTGGTGGAAAGTTAGTCGGTAATCAAGCACCAATTAATTAACAAACACAATTACACACAAAAAGATTGCAAATAGCCGAATATAATAAGCAAACATAATCAAAAATGATCTACATGCTCTATTTGAATCCAAAGCAGATGATTCATAATTTCCTAATGATCTAGCATATACACAAAAATACACACACACACCTGTACATCCAGTCTCCATTCCAGGTTGTGGTAGGCAGGCAGGTTGGAGGGCAGCTGACTCAGGATGCTACGAATCTGACTGTGGTGTTGCAGGTAGAGCTGTAACACAAACCCTCACACACTCAGCTGGAGAGCAGGGAACTCTGATACAAAGTGTGCACTGCAAATCATCTCAGATCAAAACAATGGAGTCAAAGTCACCTGTAAGAGGATCTGGTTAAGCTCTTCACCAAACCCCAAAACCAACACCGAGTCCAGGAAATCCACTTTAGAGATCTACACACACACACACACACACACACACACACACACACACACACACACTTATATCTGGGGCTCTCCTGCCAAAAGTCTGAAGGAAACAAAGTCTATTAAAGTAGGAACAGACAACCTTTCCCAAATTGCATTTCCAAGTGGTATTGTTGGTGGCAATGCTGTAGCAAAGACAACCGGATCGAATATAACAGAATATAGCCTAGTAGGCCAAGTTTCACCATTACTCATTTTAGAACCAAGTGTGTGAGCGTTAGCTAGCGTTGTTTAGATTATCACACAGACATCTAATCTTAGAGGTTTGTTTCTGGCTGCTGGTGTTAGCATTAGCTAGCGTTGTTTAGATCAGTGGTTCTCAACCTTTTCAAGTTGCGACAGTCATTTTCTTTTGTTTGACACAAAGCACTAGACATTACTGAATGCGCTCCAGATTCTCCCTGATCCGCCGGAAATCCCACATCACAAATTCCTGTTCAGGCACTCTCACTGTCACAAACACCCGGACGCAGACAGAAGTGCACAGTGAAAGCGAGGCTCATAGGGAACCAATCTAAACAGCAATGGTGTCATTGTTCTGTAGCAATTACATTCTTCCATCAACATTCACTACATAATGATAAGTTAAAGAAAAAAACACATTTCACCATAACCCCGAACACACTGCTGTACACCTGGTCTCGACCTGGTCTCGATTAAAGGTTGTGGTCATTCCTCCAATCACCTTTAAGTCAATGTCAAACAGTCTTTCTGAACCTCTGCCATGTCAGTGTCAGAGTGTGTGTGTGAGTCACCATGTGTTTGGAGCTCTCGGTCATCAGATACATCAGGCCTTCCACTCCATGCTGCACCATTTCCACCGGAACACACAGCTTTCCTGCAAGCAGTGGGTCATTATACACTCTAAAGTCTGTTAATCACGAACAACAATGAACATAAGCCACACAAATAATCATGGGATGGGTTGGTTAGTGACCACAGAAATGAAACCAGGCTATTCAAACATGCACTGTCTCTTTAAACTATTAATGATGAATCAAACTGTACTAAATGATTTCATTGATCATCATTTACTGCAGACCGGACACTGTGTGAGCTGTAAAGTGATCACTGTTACTTCTCCTTCATGAAGTTCAGACTGTTTGTGTGTTGATTCCACTGTGAAGTCATTCTGGAAGGTGTAGTATGTGGTGCTGTAGAATAGTGTTAATAAAAGCTTCTTTCCATTGGCCGTCAATCTGATGAACAATTAACAATTAATCAGACATATTGCATCTTCATTTGCACTATTATCACCTTTCTGCACTCATATCCTGAATCCATTGTCCATTGCTGTTGTTCTTTATGCTCATATATATTCTTCGATATATATTTATATTGTACATAGTACTTAAATGTTAATGCTTAGTTTCTCTGTTCTACTTTGTTGTCTTTAATGTCCTTGTTTTTATATTTCTCTTGTTTATTGTATATTCTATGTATGTATGTACGATGAGAGCAACGTGTAACCGGAGTCAAATTCCATGTATGCGCACACATACATGGCCAATAAAGCGGATTCTGGTAAAGATACAGTATTTATATATATATATATATATTAGAGCTGGGCAAGTTAACACGTTATTATCGCGTTAACGCATTAATTAATTAACGCCGACAATTATTTTATAGCGCGTTAACGCACTTTTAATTTTTTTTTATTTTGAAAGTCCGTTGCTCACTGGCAGCGGTGGAGGAATGGAGACTACTGGACATCGCTGCGGTAAAGTCAGCAGACACTCAGATCTCTGTGGTCACCTTAGCAGACACTTACATGTTAGTGCACCTTTATGCTGAAATTCACTGTAAATGCATTCAAACGTCACAGATCGGGAGCGAGCGAAGGACTTAGCAGAAAGATTAACGTGAGACAACATCCGGTTTCTTCAGACGAACATCCGGTTTTCAGAATAAGATGCCAACAAAGTATGAATTATATTCACATTAAGTATAAAACATGCTACCTACATCTCGTGAGTTAAAGGGAAAATACACCTAAATTGTGCGTAAAGTGTCTTTATTCTTTGATCGCTGGGTCACCATCATCACCTCTGAGTTACAGCATTATAGTGATGAACAGTAGAGCTGCATTCACATGCTCCGACTGTCACGAAGACACACATTTTTGCTGAAACGTGCTGAAACATGTTGTTCCTGTTGCACAGCAGTGGAACGTTTCACACACAGTCACACACCGAGCACAGATAGTGAAGAGATAGAACTGCTGCTGTGTAAAGAGAATACTGCTGTTAACAAGCACCTGATGTGTTTAAAGTGTTTACAAACCAAATGTTATTGCCCTTTTGTTCATATAGCAGTACTTTTAAAATAAAAGTGTGCAATACACTACTTTTGAATTCATTATTGAACTTTACCATAACAATGCGATTAGTCGCAAAAAATCCATGCGATTAATCGCGATTAAAAATTTTAATCGTTGCCCAGCACTAATATACACTAGGGGTGGGGGAAAAAATCGATACAGCATAGTATCGCGATATTTTGCGTGGCAATATTGTATCGATACACGGACACCAAGTATCGATCTTTTATTATATAAACTATTTAAAAAAATAAAAAATAAAAAAATTTACTAGAAAAATCAAATCAATTGCTTTTTCAGTCCACTAGATGGTGCTGAGTTGTTTTCAGCATGATTGGTCAGCGTGATTGGTAGGAAGTTGGTCAAAACAAAGATAGAGACATCTGGCCTCACAATGGGGTTAAATCTGCCAACAGTAGCCAGGCTCATGGGGAGAGTGCAGCGCATAACTGTCTCTCTGCCCTTGATGTTCACGCATCGCAAGTTATACTGAGTTTTATAACTCTAATATCCTACTTATATAAGTTATAGTTCATATACTGAGTCCACACGTTTGCATTTAGTTAAGTTGGACTATGTAGTAACACAAACAGTTCAGTTTCTCAGGTTCATGCAACATTTATGACATTGTTGGTCAGTCTGTCTGCTTGACAATCCTATTCTGCTGCAATAAAAATGATTGAAGTGAGATGAACAGACTGAAAGCTTTATCTTGTTAGATAAAACATGTTGACACAGTTTTCCTTTGGGGACATAATTTGAAGTTGAAAAAAGTAATAAATCGCAATATAGGCCTATGTTATCGCAATAATCCGAATATCGCAGTATCGTGATAATATATACATACACACATACACACACATATATATATATACACATACATACACACACATTTATATATATACACATACATACACACACATTTATACATATACACATACATACACACACAT